GATGGACAGCCTTTCCTGGAGTCAAGTGTGAACTCAGGCAACCTTTGATCTGGCATATAAGTAAGCATTGTGTAAGTATTTGATGAGTTTGGGGAATGGTAAGTGATAAATGGGCGAATAGGACATAATTGACAAATGATCAGCAGTTCAGAATGGTTGGAGAATTGCCTGGAAGTGGTTGGGTGAGAAATGGAAGCAGAATGGCTGGGGCTATGTTAAGAAAAGCCACAAAAGTTATGACAAAGTCCGAGACTCTTCTATGGGCAGTGGGTAAGTTAGTTGAAGTTATTAGAATCACATTTGTGTTCTAGAGCAGTGGTTCCCAACCTTCCTAATGCTGTGACCCTTAATACAGATCCTCATGTTGTGGTGACCACCCACCATAAAATTATTTTTCCTGTTATTTCATACTGTAATTTGCTACTGTTATGAATCATAATGTAAATGTAAATACATTCCAATGGTCTTAGGTGACACCCTTGTGAAAGGGTCATTCAACCCCAGGGGTCACGACCCACAGGTTGAGAACCATTGTTCTAGGGTGATACCTTTGATAGTGTACAGAAACCAGGCTAATTAAAGTAACCACTGAAACAATTCTTTAGTTTTAGACAATGTATAACATTGCCTGCTGAATGTAAGCTTGTAAATCCTTCTGTGTAAAGCTCAGACTCTCCTATCTGAATATTTTAGGTGCGTCAGCTGGCCCCCTTTAGTCAGTATCGTTAGTATGGTCTACTAATATCTCAATATTGGTCTATGGTTTCTTTCTGGATAAGACACCATTAACAGTAGCCGAAAGCCAAGTAAAACCTTTGGTCATTACAGAAGCATGGTGAGCAGCATGTATCTCCAAGACTGATAGGACTTTTGTAGTTTTTGTTTAATTGTGCTAATAACTCTTTCTTCCAAATGGAGAATTGTCCTTAGAGTTTACATGACAGATTATTTTTACACTTTTCAATTAGTTTAATCATACTACAATTTCACTTGACTACAATTAAGGCAACAGCAATTGTATTTTATGTTAATTGCTAATTGCCTGTAAGCTAAGGATTACTTACTTTTGTAAACTGCTACCTCAGGTTCATAAGGCATTGTATGTTTGATCCATAATGGTGCCCATGAATAGCATGAATCTCAATTTCTCTTCATAATATGATAGACGAATTAGCTATTTCTGCAAGGCTTTTTTTTCTACTTATGTTATTGCCTAAGATACGTGGATTTTCATGCATTGCTTTCTCATTCAAATATTCTGCTTTATTTTTAAAATCAACTTTACTGAGAAGTCATTTATGTAAAGCAAAAGACATAAAATTTAAAGTATACCATTAAGGGTATCACAAATACACACATACAATGTATATATAAACACACACATAATATATATGTATATATATACATATATGATGCATATCTAAATAAACACACATTTAATGTACACATAAACACATACATATATAATGTGCACATAAACACACACATACACATAAACACACATATAATTATATATAAACATAAATATATAATGCATATATAAATAAAATATAATATATAAATGTGCTGAGCAGTAGTGGCACATACCTTTATTCCCAGAACTTGGAAGGCAGAGGCAGGAGGATCTCTGTGAATTTGAGACTAGCCTGGTCTACAAGAGCTAGTTCCAGGACAGCCTCCAAAGCCACAGAGAAACCATGTTGGGAAAAAACAAAAAACAGAAACAACAACAAAATATATAAATGCACAATGTATTGCATATATAAACACATACATCATATATAAACACATATTATATATAAACACATAATGTATACATGAACATACACATAATATATAAACACACACATATAATGCATATATAAATGCACATAAAATATAAATATGACCACAGTATAATGTGTATACACACCTATATATAATGTATATATAAATACACACATTTTTAAATTGTTATCATTAGCTGTTCCTCCTCTCCTATCAATCTTCTTTTGAGATGGATTCTAACTGTTGTGTGTGACAGTAATTTAAACTTTCCTTTGATAATTTTTGGAAAATCATGAATACACCACAATTTGCTCACAGATATCCAAATTATTTCTAGTTTTATTTATTATTGATTGAATTGCTGTAAATAGAAATATAAAAAGTCTTTCCTAAAGATTTGTATATGTGCATTTGTGAACATTAGTATGTTTGTGGTTGCTGATTCTCTAGAGCTGTCCACTTGGATTTTTGGCTTGTTTTATTAGAATCTATGTCTCAGTTTCCATGGTTTTGTTATCTTTCTGTTGTTTCTGTTTTTCAAATGCAGCTTTTATTTTTTATTTAATTAATTTAGAATCAATCTTATTTTATGTATCAATTCCAGTTCCCTCTCTCTCCCACTCTCCCATGCCCCTCACTGACCGCCCCCATCTAATGCAGCTTCAATCCCGGGTGGTCTGATAGGATGCAGGGTGTTATTTCAATTTTCTTGCATCTTCTGAGACTTGCTTTGTGACCTAGAATGTGGTCAATTTTGGAGAATGTTCCATGAGATGCTGAGGAGAAGAAAGTATATTCTTTTGTCTTTGCATGAAATGTTCTGTAGTTTTTAAATAACCTTTTAGGTCCATTTGGTTCATTACGTCTGTTAGCTTTTAGTTTAGTTTTTGTCTGAATGACCTGTATATTGGTGAGAGTGGGACATTAAAGTCTTGCCCTATCAGTGTGTGAGGGTCAATGTGTGATTTAAGCTTTAGTAATGTTTCATTTACAAATGTGGGTGACCTTTCATTCAGGACATAGATGTTAAGAATTCACACATCATCTTGGTGGATTTTTCCTTTAGTGAGTATGAAGTGTCCTTTCCCATCTCTTTTGATTAATTTTGGTTTGAAGTCTATTTTGTTAGATATTAGAATTGCTACACCAGCTTGCTTCTTAGGTCCATTTGCTTGGAAAATCTTTTTCTAATCCTTTACTCCAAGGTAATGTCTGTTTTTGATGTTGAGGTGTGTTTCTTGTATGCAGCAGAAGGATAGGTATTGTTTTCTTATCCATTCTTTTGATCTGTGTCTTCCTATTAGGGAATTGAGCCCATTGATATTAAGAGATATTAATGCCCAGTGATTGTTAATTCTTGTTATTTTTTGGTTTTGGTGGTGGTGGTGGTGGTGGTGGTGGTAGTGGTGGTGGTGGTGGTGTTGTGTGTGTGTGTGTGTGTTTGTGTGTGTGTGTGTGTGTGTGTGTGTGTTTCCCTTCTTTGGGTTTGCTGGTATTAGATTATTTATTGCTTGTATTTTCATGGGTGTAGTTAACCTTCTTGCATTGGAGTTTTCTTTCTAGTATCTTCCATAGGACTGGGTTTACAGATAGATATTGTTTAAATTTGACTTTGTCATAAAGTATCTTGTTTTCTCCATCTATGATAATTGAAAGTTTTGCTGGGTATAGTATAGTAGTCTTGGCTGGCATTTGTGATCACTTCTGTCCAGGCGCATCTGGATTTTAGAATCTCCACTGAGAAGTTGTGTTATTCTACTAGATCTACTTTTATAAGTTACTTGCCCTTCTCCCATTGTAGCTTTTAATATTCCTTCTTTGTTCTGTATGCTTAGTGTTTTGATTATTATGTGGTAATTGGATTTCCTTTACTGGTCTAATATACTTAGTGTTCTGTATGCTTCTTGTAACTTTATTGGCTTCTCATCCTTTAGGTTAGGAAAATTTTCTTCTATGATTTGTTGAAAATGTTTTCTGGTTTTTGAGCTGGCATTCTTTTCCTTTTTCTATTCCTAATATTCTTAGGTTTAGTCTTTATATAGTGTACAGATTTCCTCGATGTTTTGTGTCTGTAATTTTTTAGATTCATCATTTTCTTGGATCAATGTATCTCTTGTATTCTTTTTGTGATGTTTGTGTTTATAGTTCCTGTTTGCTTACCTAGATTTTCCATTTCCAGAATTCCCCATTTGTTTTCTTTATTGCTTCTATATCCATTTTCAGGTCTTGAATATTTTATTCATTTCCTTCAACTGTTTGTTTTTTCTTGGCTTTCTTTAAGGGATTTACTCATTTCCGCCAATTTTTGTCTTTCCCCTAATTTCTTTAAGGGATTTCTTCACTTCATCTTTAAGGACCTCTGTCATATTCATAAAGTTGGTTTTAAGTTCTTTCTTGTGCTTCAGCTGTGTTGCAATATTATGGGCTTGCTGCAGTAGGATAACTGTGCTCTGGTGGTAACATATTGCCCTGTCACTTTTTCCCTGTGTTCTTATGCTGCCATCTAGACATCCAGGTTTGGGATGATTATAGGTCTAGGTGCCAATTTCTGGGTTTGTCGTTATTCTATGAGCATTTAGTTTCTTGGTTGCTGTTTCCTCTCTGGTATTTTGACCTGTGTTTGAGGAGGGGGTCTCCACTGGAGTTAGAGGCTGGTACACTAAGACTAGGAGGAGAGAGCGTCTAGGGACAGTGTTGGGGGAGGGGTCACAGAGAAAGTAGATTGATCTGCAGGCAGACAGCCTACCTGGAGTTTTGGTGGCAGGTGGCCTCTGGTCTGGCTGGGAGTCTTGACTGGAGTTGGGGGCTGGGATATGTAGATGAGGAGAGGAGGGAGTTTGCAGATTGGGTTGGCTGTATCAGGAGAGTGGAGGTCTCCAGAAGGCCAGTCCACCTGGTCTTCTGGCAGGCATGGCCAATGGTTAGGCAGGGGATGTCTGCCTGAGGGAAGTGAACAGAGTGCTATCTCGTAATAGCACCCAGGGATCTATGAAGCTAGCCCCTATGAAGCTAGACTGGCTGGCTCATCAGCAAGTCACACCCAGCCCCAGGGATCTGTGGGTCTCTGCTTCTCCAGGTTGGGATCACATTTACCAACTTAGCCATTTCTCTGATTCTCTCGAGGCTTTTGAGAACATGCATTCCTGTTTTCTTAAAAAAAAATACCACGTTGGGATGTGGGTATCATACCCCTCCCCAGGAGACTGAGGGAGCTATGCAGAAGAAAAGGTAGAATGACTGCAAGAGCCAGAGGTGATCCAGAGGTGATGGATGACTCTGAGGCAACATTGTTCAGACACAACAGGGATGATGCATGTAACAACTCACAGGAATCATGACAGCATGCACCAGACCTGCATAGGTTCAAACCAGACAAAAGCCCAGCACAGAGAACGGGAAGCAAGCTCAAAAGGAAGGAAGGAAGGAAGGAAGGAAGGAAGGAAGGAAGGAAGGAAGGAACGAAGGAACGAAGGAACGAAGGAAGGAAAGAAGGAAAAAGAAATGAGTACTGGCTGCTCTTGCACAAGATCCAAGTTTTATTCCCAGCTCCCATATGGCAGCTGACTACCATTTGTAACTTCAGCTCCAGAGAGACTCAAAGCCCTCTTCTCATCTCTATAGGCACTGCACACAGATGACACACAGACATACATGCAGGTAAAACACACACATAAAATAAAAATAAAAAATTCTTAAAAACAAAGAAAAACACCAAGTAATAAAATGGATAGTTCAGTATATATTTTTTTTCTACATTTAGAATGGCTGAATTATTTTTGAAGCGGTTGTATCATTTTATGTATTCATTACCAATGTGTAAGTTCTGCCTTTACATCCTGTTACTGTTTTAACATCTTGGTTGCTCTGATGAATGGGTTATGGCATTGCACTGTGATCTCCTTGATAACTAATGATGTTAAACATCTGTGCACTTGTTCATTGCCTATTCATAAATTCACAGACTTTGGACCTGTCTTTGAAACAAATTATTATTTAGCTTAAGAATACTTTACCCTGGATATAAGCCTTTCATCATATATACAATATATAGTATAGGAATATATAATAGTTCCTTCTGGTTGAAGCACTTAGTTCTTATTTTTTTTAAATAGTGTCATTCAACTAGAAGAGTTAACATTTGATTTTGTCCAAATTATCAATTTTTCTTTTCTGGCTTGTGTTTTTCCCCTACACTCTGTTGAGGAAATAATCCATGTGTGTAAACATGTTCCCCAGTGTTTTGCTGTAAATGATTTATAGTTTTGTTTATACATGTAGACTTAGAGCCCATTTAGAATTAAGATTTGTTTATACTTATGAGGTTCTTCCTTGTGATACTTTTCTTTCCTTAATGAGTTCACTTGGCAATCCACTGGACATCAGAAGGTGATGTGTTTGGTTCTATTCCAAAACTATTCTGATCCTTTGCTCTCTAAATCTATCTCTACATTGATGGAATACTGTCAATTGATTTTTGTCCTAAGTAAACACAAAGTAGTGTAAGTTCTCCAACTTATTACATTTTCAAAACTAGTTTGGTAATTCTAGGCCATTTGTGTTTTCATATGTATTTTAGAATTGACTTGCCAAAATGCTCCAAATTCCTACTGGAATTATATTGGAATTGCATTTGGGAATAGTACACATCTTTAATATGGTATTACTTCTTCATGCTCATTTAAAAATATGTCATGACAAATCCTTTGTAATTCTTAGTATAGATTATTATATATCTTCTATCAACTAATGTCTATGTATTTTTTTATTTTGAGGTGATATTAATCATGTACTTAAAAAGTCTCATTTCCAATTAATTTTCCTAACATATACTAATACAATTGACTTTTGGGTATTAAGCTTTTATCTTGAAACTTACATTTTGTGTGTGTATATTTGTGGTGTATGTATACATTCGTGGGGGTGTCTGAGTTGTCCACATGTGTGCATGCTCATCTGGAGCCAGAGATTGACAGCCATTTTCTTCTTCAGTTGCTTTAAATTCTCAATCTTTTTTTTTCTGGACAGGGTCTTTCACTGAACCTAAAGCTTATCAGTTTGGCTCTGTTGACTGGATAATGGGCTCTAAGAATGAGTCTGTTCCACTGCAGGTCACTAGCAATGGGATTGCAGACACACGTTTCCATTCCTGGCATTTACGTGGGAACTTGAATGCAGACCTTCATGTTACCACAGTATGCACTTTACTGACTGAGCCCCCAAACCTATCTTGCAACTTTGAGAAACTATCTCATTGACAAGCAATAGTTTTAATTTTTTATGACTATATCATTTGAAAATAGAGTAAACCTTTCTTCTTTTCAATCTGCAGACATTTTTTTCATGATTGTATTAACCTGCTACAATATCCAGCATTACATGAAACAAAAATGTTCAGAACAGACACTCTTGTTTTCTCTTCAGTGCTATGAAAAGATTCAAACTTTATTATGACATCTGTTACTTGAATTTTTTGCTGATGTTTTTCCTTCTAAGGGGAGGGTTGAGTATAGATTCAGTTTTTTTAGAAGAGTCAAAACTATTCATAATTTAATTTTTCCTTTAGTTCTTGTATTAGTTTTCCAAGAAATTTGGAATTTTATAAAATATTTCATGTTTTCACTCTTCTAATATTTCCTTAATACCTCTGAGATCTACAGTGGTGGCTGCTGATTATTTATTTACTTATTCATTTTGACAGAGTGTCATTCTTATTTCTGAGCTGAAAACATTTTATTTTGGTATGTTCTGGAAGGTCTTTGTCTTTAAACTTTTACTGATTCTTCCCCCACTAAACTTTCAGTCTCTGTCTGCTCTCCAGCTTTTCTTCTATGTGTTCTTGGAATATTGATTGACATGTTTCAGGAGTGTTTGCCTTGAGTTTATTTAGTTTCCAGATTGACTGCACTCCTTTAATCCATAAGAAGTATTTTTTTTCAAAAGAATTGGAACATTTTCTCCAAATCTCTACTACAATTCTCTAGCTGTTACATGAATGTGGCTTTACCTGCAAGCAGGTACCTAAGGAAATAACTAAGTAAATGGTGATGTTGGGGAAGCAGAAGACGATCTCTAACTGTAATGTACTGCTACATGGTCAATTTCAGAATATGTCAAAATGTAAGGAGATTAGATATTAGGTATCTTGGTAGAACTTAGGGAAAGAAAGATGGCCATGTGAAATATTTTAGAAGCAACAAAAAAGAATAAAAATCCAAATATAATTTACTGTAATCTGTTATCTACAATAAAATGAAGCATCTCTTTGTGGTTCTAACACATGAGTTTTGAGATGGGGAATCAGTCTGGGTTATGGTTGGGTTCTCAGCTACCATACTTAATTTGAAAAATGGTTAAATAAACAGGGGTGCTTGTTGCAGGAAAAGTGTAAAGAATGATTCTAAATAAGACAGTTCTCCAGTAGCATCTGTGGTCAGATAAGGCAAGAAAGGATACTGGGGCTGGAGACCTGCCTCAGTGTTTTAGAGTACTGCCTGCCCTTCTAGATGTCCTGGGTTCAATTTCCAGCATCCACATTGCAACTGACAACCAGCTGTAACTCTAGTTACAGGGGATTTAATGCCCTATTCTGGCTTTCTCAGTACGAGGCACACAAGAAGTACACAGACATGATGTAGACAAGGCACTCATTCAAACGTAAAATAATAAAGTTAAAACTTTAAAAGGATCCACAAAGAAAACAGTATGAGAAATCCCAGAGTGCTACTCAGATGAGAAGACAACACGAGAAAAATGTAGTTCCTAGAAACCAGGAATGCAGAGGCTCGGCTGGAGAGGGTTCCCGTTAGGACCTACACATTCAGATGGAGGGAACACAAGATTTGTGGTATAAATATGATGACTTTTCTCTCTCCCTTCCTTTTGATCCTAGCCACTTCTCTTCATTAAGTCCACCTAGTCCAATAGGAAGGTATTACATTCACCCAGGTTGATCTTCTTGGGAAGAGAGCAGGCTGGAGAGAGTTGAAATGTCTACAGAAGACAGTGAGAGTTTTTTCTGTGCTTCAAGAAAGAGGAAACTAATTCTTTACATCTATATAATATATGAGCTATATAATGCTACATATAGGCCCCACTTTAATCATTCTATATAATTATTCCATATATTATAATGATTAAAAGCAAACCTTTTGTAGAGGAGTTGACGTTCTCAAGGTCACCCAGCTAGGAAGTGCAAAGAACACAGTCTGGTCTTGGTTCTTATCAAGTCATGGAAGCTGTGCATTACTGAACTTTAACAAGTGTATTCTTTTGTTCTGGTGGACTAAGTGGCCATGATATGACAGATACATTAATCTTCCCTTTGTTTCTGAAACAAGGAAGGTACTCCATAGTGGCTTTCATAGGGATGATGAAAAATGATGACCAACTTTAAAATTTCTGTTAGGACAAGACTTAAACCACTCCCAGTTCTTCAGGCTGCACAGAACAGCAAAATTAATTTTACCTGGCTTTATTCATTAAGAGGACTCAGCTTTGAGTTAGGGTCCTGCTTAGTATTTTTGTTACACAGGCACGGGTTATGAGAGGAGGGTTAAACCTGAGTATGTGAGTCTCTATTCTGGCTCAGAACTAGATACTGTACAGTTTAGAAAAACATTCCTGGATATTTCTTCCTTTCTAATTAGTATTCTTGGGATAAAGTCATAAATGAAACCTGATTAAATTAGAAATACAGGGAAGAGAAAGAAAAAAGTAAAGTCAAAATTGCTTTTCAAGGAAAAATGGCTAAATTAATCTGACAAATGTTGAACATTCAGTCAAATGTTTATGGAAATAGGACATTTTTAAGTTTTCAAGGAAAGGTTTAGCACAGCACTGTAGGGCCTGCATGGCAAATGGCAGAAACACACTTTCTACTGGGCTTTGTAACAGCCATCCGATTATAAACACATCCTTGTTCTGAGCTGTGGCTCTCCTGTGTATCTTTTCTTCCTCTGGGTGTTTTTACCTTCGCTGCTGTTAAGAGGCTCTAGCAAGGACTATGTAGCAAGATCTTCTTTTGAGCATTATTTTATTGGCACCCTGAGATGCAGTAGCATAACCTATGCCTACTTTTCCCACATGAATATGTCACCTTTGAAATCTTTGGAACAATAATTTACACTCATTGCGCTATGAAATACCAAGGATTCACAAAACAGTCATAAAGTAGTTTCACAAGATTCAGAAATGGGGCATTAAAAGAATATTCATAAGGACAATGAGGTGAAAAATCAATATAGAGTGAACCAAGATTTTATCTCTCACCAGAGTACCAAGGGCACATTGCCACAGAAGTGAATGCATATGGTTCTTAACCACTTTTAATGTACAGAGTTATCGCCATAGTTTTCCAGAGATTTAAGGGCATTTCAACTCTGCTGAGAAATGCTTAGACCGCATATAAGGTGGTGTGTCTTGTTACCACTATACGGGTATTTTGTCTGAAGTCAACAGGTACTTTGAGTAAACAGTCAATCATGAGTCTAGAACAAACATTTCTAGGGACCAGAAGTGCAGAGGAATCATACACTTAAAGCAAGTGGGGACTGAAGCTCAATGGGCAGGTGGAAGAAAACACAACAGAGTCTCTAGGAATGGGTATGAGGCTGGATGAAGTGCCATTGGTCTCACAATTGAGAGAAAGGGCAAGAATTCTGCATGGAAGATATTAGAAGTTAGAAATAAAATACAGAGAGGGAGAGGGAAGGTTCTGGAAGGGATTCTCTTGCCTGCACACTGGGCTCAGAAACATTTTCATACCTTGGTCTTAGTGGGACTGAGCAGTTGGCTCTGACCACAAGAGAAGGCAGAACTACTTCAGGAAACCAGTCTTGCAAGTCACTGAAATATGTGAACCTGAACCAGACAATTTGTAAGGAATAATCACCAGCCAAGAGCAGAGATGATCAGTAGTCTGGCACCTAATATAGTGCTATCTCTCATGTCTCCGTACTACCACAGTCCAGGCATGATTATGGAGAAGGTCACAAACAGTGCGTTGTGGAGGGCATAGTGGGAGACATCTCATCAAATCCTTGCCCTGGCAGGACTGACATTTTAATTATCTAAGGATCAATTACAGAAAAACAAATATAGACACAAAATAAGACATATAATAAGTGTAGTGAAAAAACAATCAAATAGCACACAGACAAGGGAGGCTATTTTATGAAGAGTAGCTGGAGAGTGCTTCACTCATGAATTAATGTTTCAATGGAGCCCTAAAAGGAATGGTCAAGCCACAGATTTACGGAGAAAGCATACCAGGCAGAGGGTGTATTTAGGTAGTGTGTTCTGAATCAAAGGCTTCATCAGTTAAGAGGTAGCAGGGGAAAGTGGTAAAGAAAATGAACTGTTCTGCTGAGTCTATGTATGGCAGCTGATGAAGGGCAACGGGGCTTCTGTTAGGAACTTGGGGTTTGGGCTCCAGTAACATGCCATGATTTGGAAGGAGACAACTACAGGAGGATCAGAAAGAAGGCTGGAGCAATTTGGTCATGGTGAAAAACTTAAGTGAATGCTAGATCATTTCTTCCAGGATTTAAGAAATTAATCAAGAGTGTTCATGTAGGAGCCTAATAGACACATGAACATCAGAAAAACCGTAAGAGGAAAACATCAACACAGTATATCACTAATCGCCAAGAAACAGTTGCTATAACTTAATGCATTTCTATAGAACATATATATATGTATATATATATATATGTATATATATATATATATAATTTATATATAAATCCCTGTAAGCCAGTTGAACTCCATACAGGACAGCAATCAAAATCTTATACAAATATTTAATGGAAAACAAATTAGACCCATAAAAATATTTAGTGGAAAATGGTTTAGAGGCATTTGATTGAAGTCAGCACAAAATGTATATTGTCAGCACTATTAACATTTTACTGAAGAACCAGGCTGCTTCATCAAAACCAGGAACAATTTAAAAATAGCATAAAGAATGGAAAAGAAAATACAAAGTAATTTTGATTTATAGCTGATAGGATATATCCATTAAGTTAAAGAAACCTGCAGATAAGTAAGAGAGTATAAAAGGATTCTTGAATACAAAAAATGAAAATAATTCTATGCATCAGTAATAAACAAATATGAGATTTATAGCTAGCAGATAGCACCAGGAACAGAAACACATGAACTAAACTTTAAAAAGATATATAAGAATTTTATG